GATAAAATGGTCATATTTTCTGTAACTGGAACATCTGCAGAAATGCCACTGAAGGATTTTGGCTTGTTGTTTTAGATAGAAAATTGCAGAAGTCCTCCCATTTTTTTTCTCTTTTGAGGCTGGACCAAAAACACATCCAGCAGTCGAAAGCTGTGGCATGTTAATAGAAAAAAATTTCTCTATAAAATATCCACTACTTCTAGAGGCAGATTTATGCTACATAGTCACCATTTCAAAGGCTAAGGTCACCACCAACCATGTCAACCCACCGGGATATCATAACACATAAATTACATAATCAATAGTGCATGTTTTCCCCCTTTCTTTACCAATTAATGGATTTTTAAAGTAAGAGAGCTTGTTTTAGATTGTTCCAATCATGTTGGGTGAGGAACCTATCAGAAGGAATATTAAACAAAAAAACATTTCTTAAATAATCAGTAGAAGTCTGGTGTTTAAGATGCTCACATCAATTCTTTCTTGTGCAGCATTCAGCAAGTGCACAGGAGCATCAGCTGTACTTCCAGTTCTGCTTCTGACCTTCTGAGAATTTTAGTAGTTCTTTAGAGAAATGAATGTATGCACTACCAGAAGATACTCCAGCTTTTTGCTTTTTTACTTCATCTCAGAGTGATAACATGTTTCTGTGCCAATGTGCTTCTCCTCATACAAACCATTTCATTATCCTATACCTCCTCCGCTCTTCTTGCAGATTCTGATTAGAGCTTTCTAATTTTGAATGGGATTAGGGCCAGGGGATGAGATAGTGAGTGATTTATATCAGTTGATAGGATATTTCCTGCTCTTACTGTGATGTTTTCATATAAATTAAGTATTTCTTTGTCAAGGTAATGGGAGTTTGCACCTGGCTCAGCTCTTTACACTAATTATTCTTCCTATCTATTTACTTACTAAATTATAGGTATTTTGGGCTGAATTGTGAAACTCAGTGGTCACTTGTAAGGATAGTCCCATTTAATTAGTAGGCATACATACTTGAATAGGTGCTTATCAGTGCAGCTTGGCTTAATTTCTGTTTTCTTGCAATGAATACTCGGAGCAGCATAAGCAGTGTTCCATGGTGTTGATACCTGATCACATCACATGAAAACATGTTTTTGAAAGTGCATAGGAAAGAGAGTAAAGCACAAGCTCGTTTTTGTGCTGGATTTCTCAACTGCTGCAGGCTTGGCTTTGTCACCTTCACTTTCAGCTTAGGATTTCTTGGATGTGCAGTTAATGTTCTTAAATGAGAGAAAGAGAAACTAGACTCCCCAGAGCAAAGCATTTCTGGGTTTGTGTTACGTGAAGGACCTTCTTGAGTCTCACTATATTTCATCAGCAAGTTTCCAGAATGTATTTCCTAAGGTGGCCAGAGTGACCTCAGGCAGAGATTTCTCAAGAATAGATTCTCTGGAGTGATCCCTTGAAGGAAACCTATACCCTGGTAGGTTTTGCTGTCAGCAGAGGTGAAACTTGAAGAACCAGTTCCTGTTCCAGAGGGACATATACTCTTAAGGAATAGTAAGTTCCTTTTGTGTTCTTCTAGCAGTGGTTGGCCACTGCTAATGGAAGATATGCTGTATGGTGCTTGACAAAAGTGAGGCTAAGCATATGAGGTTAGTGGGTTTGGAGGCATTGCGTCTCTAGCTGGTTGGTTGGTTGGTTGGCAGCCACTAACCTTTTGTGAGCTAGAAACTTTGGAGAGCAAAGAGCTTGGGAAGACAGACCCCTCATCATTTGTCTGTTTTTCCCCTTACCCCTGATTCCAATGAGACTTCTCCTTTCTTTCTGCCATGGTCCAAGCTCATGGATGAAGGACACTGGTGGAGTTTTCAAACCCTTAAAAGTCTCCTCTGAGCCTGCACAGTCTCAGCTTATGACTGATTTGGACAAAATCACACAGGGGCAGCAGGAAGTCCAGTTTTGACTGCACAAGTACCATATTCCTTTTCCAGCATACGGACCCATCACAGGATCCCCCCACACTGCTCTTTTCGTATGCATAGTCTCTAACAGGGCAAAATGTGTTTTTCCCCTGGCCTTGTGCTGTGAAGCGACTGAACCATTTTGCTGAAGCCTTCCCAAAACCCACTTAGCCTGGGGCAGACAGCATACAAGGAAAAAATCCAGCCCAAACAGCTGAAATCTGGCGAAGTTGAACTCAAACTGAAACACGTTCTTCTCATGGAAAAGTGTTGGATGACCTCTGATAGGCAGAGTCCTTCACTCCACCTAGCTGAGACAGACAGGCAAAGTACACATACTGCTTACCATCCGCGCTCGTTAGCTTGGGTGTATGTACTCCAAACAGCAAATTTTATGTATAAAAACATACCCTCTTCTCTATATGCATGCTGCATAGCTCCCCACTACACAGGATTCCTGGCCGCAGATCAGTTGCATCACTCCCCTGATGTCATCCTGGCATATACCACCTCCAGCATTCTTCTCTGCCTGGGCAAACAGTATAGTCCAAGACTGTTTTTTCTTTTTTCTTTCTTTTTTTTTTTTTTTTTCCCCTGGTTGGTTGCTGCCACTGCAGAAAATCAAAGGCAGCCTCACACATTTGTCTCTGTTTTTCATTTTGTTTTGCTACAGAAGTTAAAATGAAAAGCTTTGGAAGGACTTTCTTCAGCACAAGTGAGGAAGCAGCTGTTGACCATGAAAAAAAAGTCCGTAAGTTTGTGCTTCCTGAGCTAGGAAATAGCTGCCATCGCCACCACTACAGTTTCTGTAGACATTTCTTGTGGTGTGGGAGATGACTTGCTCTGACACTGTGGCACACAAGGCTGGGGGCTGACAGCGGGGTGGGGGTGGGAGACTGGGCAAAGTCATGTGGCGGTGACTCACTGGGAGTTATTTTTCAAAGCGTTTACTGAGACCGTATGTCCAACAGCTTGTGCCAAGGCCTGTACGAAATCTGCCCTGTGTTATAGTTTCCTTGAAAGAAGGGTGGAAGGAGCAAATGCTGTGGGTGCGTTTGTCAGCACAGCCTGTGGAACGGGTGGCTGTGCCACGAGGATGGGATGTTTTGCTTTTGTGCAAGTCAAGAGGGCAAAACTGCTGTTTTCCGTTATCAGTCTTAGCACACAGTTAAAAAGTGTTCTAGATAAATGGTACTCGGTGCCACAGGTGACGCTTGTGCTGCATGTGCACAGGCAGAAGGTCCCTGCAGAAGGTTTGGCAGGGCCTCCTGCAGTCAGGGCGAAGTCATTCTGGGAAATGGGCTTTACAAACATTTCCTCCTCTTTGCACAAGCACAAACACAGCAACATAGGAAGGGTTGCTCTCGTTTCCCAATTTATGCCCACTTACTTCCCCATGTGGGCATCAGCATTGATGGGCTCCCACGCCTCTCTGCCAGCACTCAGTGGGGCTGTGGTGTCCTTACATGGGGTTGAGCAGATGCTGACACAGAGGGTATGTAAGAAGGTTCATCATGGCAAAAACTGGATCTCTTAGTGTTATCCTGTGATAATGAGAGACAAGCACATCAGTTGTGACAGACAAATCAGACCTTTTTGGTGCCTGAGGCATTCACTTGCTGTGATTTCACAGCAGGTATTGATTAGCTTCATGCGCTTGTCCTCATGATAGTCCTTTGAAGTCTTTATTTATAGTGCAGGAGTACCACAAAACATAACCATTTGCCGCAGGTGGCTGGGAGCTAGTTGCCTTCAATACTTCCTGGTCTGGGGAGTAAGATAGTCCCTTTCCCTCACCACTATTAGAGTGTGGCTCTGCAGTGTGGCCTCTCCACAGCTGCTCAGGCTGGTCCCATCAGCCTTGCCTAGGATGATATGGCCTCTTTCCTTGTCCTGGTCCAGTGCTGCTGCTGAAGTGTGATTGTAGAGGAAGACTGGTCAGGGAGACTGGGGCAGGAGGTACATACCCTGCATGTGTCATGTATGGCCTAATGTCATGGGTGGCTGTGAAACCCATGTCAAGAGCTGTGTAGGTATTTAAGGTATCTCCATATATTGTGTTGGGTGTGTGAGCTCCATTCAGTGATGTTTTGTGGCCCTGTATGGCGATAAGGCCACAGCAATGTGGGGCCTGCTCTGAGGGCCAAAGACTTGTTGCCTGTAGGTTATTTTTGAGGCTATGAAAGCAGTGTGCTGCTGGACAATGCTTTGAGGGTCAGTTCTCGCTTGCCCTAGACTGGTGTTTTACCTGTAGCCTGTTCTCTTTCTTACAAGCAGGAATAATCTGCGTGCAGTGGGGTATGACAGAAAAGGGGATATAAGCACAAGTCTCAGAGACATGATTTGGTGTAGTGTGATTTAGTAACTCCACCACTGCCACACCTACAAGCAGGAAAGCAAAGAGAGTCAGCTGTTACCATGTCTCACTTTTCTTCTGCTCTGCCCATGGAACCTGACTTTCTTCAGAAGATTCTCCCTGCATGCCAGGCTCAGCAGGTGCCTTTCACCTTGAGGTCCTGTGCCCCACCTGGTGGGAAAAACACTTGCTGTTTTCCATGGCATTTCTGATGCTAGACAGTGACTGCCACAAAAGTGCCATTGAGGGGCTTGGGTTGGCTGTCCTTTCTGCACTAGGGTAGCACACAGCAGTGATGACCACCTGAGCAGTGGTGTACATCAGCCAGGCCCATGTAACCGATACAGCTTACGTATCAGCACAAAGTCTAGCCTGGAAGCACCACACACACACACGTTTAACATCCTTCCAGCTGTTGCTTGCCCAGGGTACCGAGACATGCTGTGTGAGGACCAGCACCGCTGGCACCATGCTTCGTTTCATCTTCCACTATATTTCCCTCTTAGCAAGGAAATCTTTCTCTTGAAACTGTAGTTTCATAATGAATGTACATTTGCTGAGATAAGGTTTGTGGGAGAGTTTTGCTTCATATACTGCCGAATACACAGTTAGCTGAGCATATTTCTGAATATTTCTTTTCTCTCTTTGCTGGGGCAAGGAGGTGAAGTGTTATGCTGTGGAAAGGAGAAATAATGTAGTTCCTTTTTTTCTCTCAGAAGGTCCTGGTGACAAGTCCTTGAAGGACACAGAAGTAACTGCATGCCAAAGGAACCCAGGAGACCAGGTTTGGGAAACCTAACCCAGGAGCCTTTTCTGGAGGAGGGGGAGAATGCAGAAAGAAAAGGCTTTCACATAGGAAGTAACAGATTAGCAGGACCAGAAGACTGTCTGGAGGAAAGGAGGAAGCTGAGGTGTTGCTGGTGCATTTACAAGCTGTTCTGAACAAGGTGCTGAACTTCTCAGGAAGCCATTTCGGGTTAGCCAGTGATCCAGTGCAGCCCTGCTTCTGGCTCCAAGACAGCCTGGATGGGCAAAGGACGATGCCCTTTCCCTGTGGATTCCCATGCTCCCTCTCCGGCTAACCAGTTTATATTGCTGGCTAATTGGGAAGGAAAGTCATTTCGTCCTTAGTTTCCCCTCCCCACATGCTTACACTGAGTGTGGAAGTAGGATGCTGGAGTCCTTAATTTCTTCTAGGGGCTGAGATCCTTGACCCATGTACTCAGGCTGAACCACTATGGCCCTGGATAGAGAAGTAGCTGGGGACAAATGAGGAAGTAGTGGGTTGAGCAAAAACCTTGTGCTACAGAAATCTTTTTTTACAGAAAATGGGGGAAGGAGGTGTGTGTGTGTGTGTGTGTGTGTGTGTGGTGAGGCAGGTTACCAGCCACCCCATTGCAGCAGACAGTGTGTTTTCATTGTGATGCAAATATCTTCATGTAATTTGGGTCAGGTTCAGGTTCACCCAGTTCTTGTGGTGAGAACTGAAACCAGGATGCCTTCACTTTTGCTCACAGCTCTCAATGCTCTCTTCTTTTGCTGCAATCCCAGAGCTTGTTTAGTGATTGGGCTGCTTCTGTGTCTCTAGAGAGGGGACGTCTGGTGGGGTACATCACCGACCTTATTCAGCAAGGCACAAGGCAGTCGTGCTCCTCTCCATCTCTCTGGAGGTTTTTTTGCTCCTAACTGTTTTTTTTTTTTTCCTGAAAAGGTTGGTGGGAATTGCCTGTGTGCTCCCACATGATGCTATGAGGTTTTGAAACCTGGTTTTGGTCAATCAGACTTGCTCACACTAAAATTAGGCTCACACTGTCTGTGGCACCTGCAAATGTAGAAACCAGCCCCATAATACCAGAGTGAAATCATTGATACTCTGCACTGTACACCAGTCTGGACAGCTTTGAAAATAGTTGTCTTTGCTTCTGGGAAACATGATATACAGACTTGAACAGGAAATTTACTGCCGTCTTACTCAAAACTTGACTCCTCCTCACCCCCTGCTTGCAGTGAGCCTGTAAATGTTTAGGTCACCTCACTGTTATCCTGTGTGGGGTCTTTGTTCCTTGTCTCTCCCACTTATGTTGACCTAGCCCCACTTCTCTCCCCGCACAGCTGGCATTAAACTCTGGGGGCACAGGGCAAAGGCAGAGCCTGGTCCCTTCTTGTCTGCCCCCCTTGGAGGGGCTGACTTTTCCTGCTGTCTAATGTGGATTAGTGGGGCTCCCTTCCAGTTTTGGGCCTTGGGCAGTCACCTTAATTGCTCTCTCCTAAATCTAATTCTGTTCCGCTTTTTCCAGATTATAATGCTCCCTGGAATTCATTTTAAATGCAGAGCAGGGTCAGGGGAGGCTTCATGGACAGCTTGGATGCTCTTAGGGCTAGGGCTATGCTGAAGGCACTTCAGGCCCATAGAATAGAATTGGCTGCTAAAATCATAGTGGTTTCCTGAGCTGGCTGTTAAAAAATCACCTTCAGCAAGCTCAGATCCCTATGGTCTCTGCTGTCACTCTAGTACCCAGGCTCCCAGGCTGGGCTTTGTCCATGACTGCTCTTCCCATGCCAGCTCAGACCTAAAAATGTCCATCCCCATCAGTGGAGGGGCCCAGCCTTTACTATTTCTTCATCCTGGCCCTATTCCTCATGGTTCCTGTCCCTGGCCCTGACACAGCTGGCAGCTCAACCTGCCTGGGTTCAATGCTCATTGAGCCTTTTTGGTACATTGGGTGGGGATGAAGCATGGAGGAAGGGGTGCAAATCTCAGTCATCTCTTTGTTTGAAGGATCTATTCCCACTTTATGGACTCACAGTCCTGTAAGGCAATTTGGTTTCCTTGCACTTAAATGCAGCTGCTTCTGGTGCAAAGTATGGCAGCTGTTTTACACTGCACAGGAGAGCACTTTGGCAAAGAAGACCTAATGATTGTGCTTGGCTGAATCTGTGAGGGGAATTTAGGTGGAGGGAATGTAATTATTGGAATTTGGCCAGGACACTAGGAGAAAACACCTGTACTCATGACATGTGCTGTGAGATAATCATTTTCAGCAAAGTGTGCATAGTAAAGCAGTCAGAATCACAGTAAAGCAGTAGGTCACTATGCTGTATGTGCAGTGTCATGAATAAAGTTCTCCTTTCTCTATCCATGGGGAATGGGGTTTTAATCCTTTGTACATGACAAGTGCATGAGCCAACCATGTCCTTTAATAGGCACTCAGAGAAAGAGGTAGTGGTCTACTCTAATTTCATAGGGTCCATGGGGAAGCTGTTGGTAAGTTCTTCTGAAATAACTCTGGTTTCCTGGGCTTTGGTTTCATGTATAGTTTGAGAAAAAAGCAAAATTGAAATCTTGGCTCTGTACAGCTTGAAACAGTAGGGATGGAAGAATAAGTGTTTATTTATTAGGACTGGCTCTCTTCCACCCTGCCCCAGAAGGGGGTAAGGGGCTGAGTTTGGGTTTTGAGGTGGCAGTCTCAAGATCCCGAGGTTCTCATGGGTGAGGTGCTAAGCGAGCTGGTCCCCTGGCCAACCTGAGGCTGAAGTCATGACAGCAGCTTCTTTCTTTTCTCAGTTGTTTTGTACCATCCCTAGCCCTTAAGCAGTTCCAAACCCAACTGATGTTCCGATTTTACCATCTTTGTTGACCATCTTTGGCCCTGCAGAGTTATTTTAAGGTTTGTCAGATACAAAGATTCAAAGCTTATCAGAGAGGAAGAAAAAACATTTTCATGTGTTTTCTCAGTGGCCAGCCTAAGAGAGGGTGAGATCTGTAACCTAACTCATATGGATGTGACTCATATCACACTACAAATGAAAAATGAGTGTAGTTGATACTGATCCTAAATTTGACATCTCTGATCAGCTTCAGGATTAGCTTTGCCTGACGGCATTCATTCTTGGAGCTGGGCTCCTTCTCAAGGTGAACAATAGCATTAAATGATCTCTTAATAAATGGAAAAAAAAGGGAAGAAAAATTTCTACAGGCGCACTGCCACCACTAAGAATGCAATTGACTTTTGGACTGGACCACAGAATTGCTGTGAGAATGAGGGACTGACTTTTTCTTATGGAGGAGGAAGTGCTGTGTTACTCAGAGGGCATGAGGAGGCTACAAAAAATGGCACTAGTTCTTGGAAACAGCACTGATAGGTTTGTTTTTGGTTTTTCCCCCCTCAAAATCCAGGAATATTTAGGGGGATTTCCAATGAGGAGAATTGTGGCTGTAAAGAATGGGGCCTGTTCCAAAAAGATAAATCAATCTATAAACACAGGGATCCTCTAGAGGAATAATGTTGTTTTCTCCCAGCTAGTAATGAGATAACTATTAACCCCAGTGAGAATGATAAGAGGAAGTTCTTATGATGAAATGTTTACAAACAGGAAAACCCCATGGCCTATCTTCTTAGCACCTGAAGCAAAGTCTAATTTTGCCTAGGGGAGGTCCTTATACCAAGTTTGGTCTTTTTTGTTTCTTTTGGCTCGAGACCTCCAAGGTTTAGGTGAATAGGGGGCATCAGGGAACCCCTCCTCAGCCAGGGAGTTGGGGTGCAGAATCCCTGATGCACTTGGAGACACAGCCCCATTGCTCTGTGCTGTCAGCTCAGAGCTGGTTGGTTTTTATCTTTGTTCCCTTTTGGGAGAACTGTGTCTGATACCTGCCACGAGGGGCAAGAAAACAAGTCTGGCTCTTCCATGTTTGCCTAGTAAACGCTGAGCAATAGCAGTTTGGACCTTCACTGTTTCTTGGAAGCTGTTTCAGTTTCCAAGACTGCTTGTTCTTGGTGATCTGCTGCATATCTCTGAGGCACACATCTCCTGTGCTGGATGTAAATCTGTAGCAATACATCCTAGATTCCTGTAAGCTCATACCCCCCCATTCGATTAATAGAAACCCCGAGTTCCTTTTTTAGCTTCCTCTACTGACCACAACTCACGTCATGAGTGAAGTCCCGCCTGCCATGCTGCCTGCCAGCATGTGTGCATATGGTCTGCAGAACATGAATGCAGCAAACCACTTCACAGCATTGTTGTTTTCTTTTGCCTCTTCCCCCCCCCCCTTCTCTCAGTGGAAACTATTAAAGACCGAAAGCCTTTGCTAATAAAATTCACACAGCTGCTGTTGCTGCAGCTGAAGTCCTAACACTACAATAGGGATTTCCAGGCATGGCTGCCCCCCTTGCAAAGTGCACTGAAGAGGGCAACATGTGGAAAACCATCGCAAAGACATGTCACTGTGTGTTAGCCACCAAACCTGTAAATGAACTAGCCTGTGAGGCTGTTCTCTGAAATCACTGCAGGCTTGAAATTTCCTCCCTCACTTCTGTGCTGCCCTTCCCCCAGGCAGAGCTATGGTTTGGAGAAGCCAGATTCAGATTCCAGTTCTGTCCTGAAGGTGGGGATAATAGAGTTCACCGGAGGCACACGTTTGGCCTGTCAACAGCTGGCCATTTGTCTTCTAAGCTCCCAGTTGCCTGATAATGAGATATTGTAACGAGAGTGCTGACACTACAGTGAGGTCCTGCTGCAGGGCAAAGGCAAGGGGGAAGATCTCCACTCTTGCTTTCCCTCTTCTCCCAAAGTTCAGAGTGTTTGAAAAGCCCCATGTACATAAAAATTAATTTGCAGGTTCAAGATTTGATCAATCCAGAATGAGTGCTTGGGAGGAGCTGCTGGCTGTGCTACAGATACAACATTTTCTATTGGATCCAGCCATGCCAGGCTGGATAGTCTTTGTAGAGTGGCAGGCACCTCATCTTGGGCAGGAGTGTTTAAATGACAGGAGAAAGGCTGATTTCTGTGAGAGTTTCTGTTTCTGGATTTCCTCCCCCTTTTCAGTACAAGCCGGTATTTATCTGTAGGTTTCCAGAGGAAAAGTGACTTCTGAACTCGTACTTTTGGTGCAAATACAGCTTGAGTAGTGGTAGTAGAAAACTCATTCTGGCAGGATACTCGAGCCATCAATGCGCAGATATACATGTAAGACTTCCAAGCCAGCTTGAGTTCTTGTATGTGATAATTTGTGCCAATTGCAGTAGGAGTTGCTGTAGTTGGCTGCTTGTACTAATAGAGTTTGGGCAGGAAGATCACTGTGGGGATATAGAGAAGCTGTTGCCCTATTTCAGGGCCACCAGAGCTTTTGAAGGGCCTTCTTGAACGCCATGGCTGATAGCCTGCTTTTTGCCCTAGATATGAGATGTGGTCTTGCTGAGCCATGGGGCAGGTCTGGATTTATGCTAGGTGTCCTCTGCTTCTTGTGGTGCACAGTTTACTTTATCCTGGTGCCCAAAGTCTCATTTCACCTGCCAGTGGTGGAGCAAGAATGAACAAAGGCCATTTGTAGCAACAACCTTATCTTGGCAAATCAAGATAAATGTGCTGTTTTGGTCTAGCATTTACCTGTGTCTGGTAAGAGGTATGACAGTGCAAGACAGTGTTGCCTTTCCTGATATTTTGCCTGCTTTTAGTGTTCTGGGACTAAGAGCCTTCCCACTCACCCTCCAGAGAGAGCACCTGCCAGAGGCGCTGTAAGCACTGCTGAGCCACTCAAACTCTTTCAGAGCTGTCTCCTGGTCTATTCCCCTCTAGTTTAATGCAAGTGGTTTAAATGTCTCATTTTGTCACAGGTGCCTATCTGTAAGAACAGTTAGTCGTTTAGAGCACATTTGTAATTTTCTGACATGGTGCCCCATTTCAGAAGAATGCAGCACCCTGATGCAGCCAGTGGAGTGTGTCATGGCGTCACTTAGAGGAAGGAGTAATCCTTGAAGTATGTCCCTGGTCCTGATGATTTGTGTTGTTATAAAATAAATAACTCTAGGGAAAAAAAACAAACCCAAAAGTAAATATTCCCTTCCTTCTCTTCAGTAGTGTTTCTAATTGTTGCTAAATCTTGTCTCTGAGCATTTTGCTTTGGTTGTTAGGAACCACACGTTCAGCAAGATACTCCTGCAAAGCTTAAGGCTTCTGTTCCTGAAACTCGGAAATGGGATGTGCTGGCTGGGGTCTGAGGGCTTGATCCTGCAGCTCTTGTTCACATGAAGATTTTAGTCTTGCACTTGTACTGGGTGCAGTGCAAACTCCCTTCTCAAAGCATGATGTGAACAGGGCCTTATTCAATACTTGGTCTGTCACTGGGTTTATGGGTAAAGGGGCAAAGGGAAAAGAGGACTAAGTGAAAAGAGGTGTCCATTGACTTCTGCAGGAGTAGGCTTCCTTGCTTGGCTATAGACTACTTGTTCCTCTGATGATCGCCTCCTGACTTGTGAAGTTCGTTGCATGAGTTTGAGCTGGTCCTGACAGATCCTGTCACCATCTTCCATCCTTAGCACAAAAACCTCACGCACAACTTCAGAGCAGCTGTTACTTATTCACTTATTTATTTATGAGCGTGTTGGCTTGATTCAATAAAATTTGTTATTAAAAATTATAGCTGACTCCGGAGTTGCCTGTTCAAATTTACTGCCTGCGGGCCCTGCTCCCTGCCACTGCTGCTTTTTCACCAGAGAGATGGACCATGTTTTCTTCTCTTGGCAAATGGTCCCTCTGCTCCCCCAGCCTGCTCCAGCCTGAGTGCAGAAGTTTCTCCTCTAGCCCTAGCTCCATATTTCTGGGCGCATTGCAGGTCACTAGCCCCTGAAAGCCCCAGACATTTTGTTTCCCGGGGCCACTTTCTGTTTTCCCAGGAGCAGAGGGCTGCTCAGGTCAAAACATCTGAGCTGAATGGAGAGATCTGTCACCTCTTTAGGCCTCACTCTCCTATTGAAGGAGAGGGCAGAGGTTTATTGCATCTTCTTTTCAGCCTTCAGGCTGCTGACAAAGTGCTATTTGGCTTACTGCTAAGCTGGCAGAGAGTGAGCCCTGTATCTCTTATTTACAGCTGTGCTCCTAATTAGTTAGCAACAAAAATACATAATAAAATACAGCTTGTACTCAGACAGGTTCTGGCTAAGGCTAAGATGAGATATGGTAAGGTAAAAAACCTCAAGACTCTGAGCCATGCTGAAGGTAAATCCCACAGAATGCAGAAAATTACCTCCACCCTGGGAAAATCAGACATTTTAGGGTGTTCTCCATGCAGAAAGCTGTGAAGGTAACACATCAGAGCCAAGACTAGACAAACATTCATAATGTGTACATAATGAAGCCTCTGGATATTGAACAGGCTGGAGCTTGAATCTTTCCCACTGTGGCAACTCCTGCCTAAAATGTACAGAAGTGATGATGAAGCCAGAAGAGTCTCTATTTTTTAAATATTACTTTAAGACAAGATTGACATCTTTTCCTATGTATAGAAATAAATGCATATGATATACCACCCTTGGATTTACTGTTCTTCTGTCTATTGCTGGGTGTTTGCTAGAGGATACAGTGAATGCAGAAGTATCCAAACACTCATGCTTTTAACCTCACACTTCTACTCCACTTGGAGACCCACAGTAGGTTTGTGCTGATAACATCCCAGACATGTCCTATGGCTACATAGGTGCAATACTCTCAGCACAGGGCTGTAAGTATTCCTACTCTTTTCTACTAAATCAGCCTTCTCCCATCTTGCTGCTGTGACTTGGCTTTCAGGACATCTCAGTCCTTGTTTTGTTCGCCAACATGAAGTGCCCTTTTGAGTTTTATCCTATTGTCTTGCTGGAAGGGTGTTCATGGAGGCTGGTGTTGAGGCCTAGTGTTGAATCCTACTTCTGCCTCAGAGGACTTCGGCCCATTTCTGCCAGGTGAGTGTGGCTTTTGGGCACTCAAAGCTGTTTTTTCTCAGCCCCAGAAATTGAAACACTTGTGTTTTAGCCTTAGCTAGTCTTTAGATTGGAAATCGGGTGCTAATTGTCTCATTTCTGGATGAGTGCTTGATATACAAAACTGCCTTTGTACTAAGTTTCTTCTCTCACGTTCTCCAGTCTTTCTCTACCCCTGTAAGCAGTGGGGACCCAGTAAAGTCCATAACTCAGTGCTGTGAATCCCATCAGTCAGAAAGCTTTCTGCTGAGTTTTGCAGTTTGCTGGACTGTGCTGGCCTGCCTCGTGAATCTGTCCTGCCTTGCTGAGTCCAGCTCACCAGCTCAAGAACAAAGACCTTATTTCTTCTTGAGGCCCTGCAGAACGTGGTCTACGAGTCCGTGGGATGCGGTGGTGTGTTGTGGTCTCTTTTTTTCTTGATTTTTGACAAAATTATGATTCTTTTTTATTCAAGCATTTTCCAAAGCACAAACTAAATAACCTTTTTCATTTTTTAATTAGTTCTTTGGTGTGCCTGTGCGAGTCATGCTGATAGAAGAGCTTAAGGCCAGTGCTGTGCCAGATACTTGCCCTCAGCATGAGTACTGCATGTAGATGGTCCGTGTCACTGCGAATGAGACATATCTGCCCTTGCAGGTGAGCCAGAAAGAAACTGTTCATGGATATTCAGAAAAAAAGAAAAATAATTAAAAGTCTTCTGCTAGCTAGATTTTTCCTGTATCTGTAAAGTGCAAGAATTCCCTTTTCATTAAAAGTAACTCTATTTCCCGAGCAGTGCCTCCAGGCATCTCCCCCATACAGATAATCATGCAGAGAGCTGGTCTGATCTGAGGTCTCCAGATGGGAGGGTCTTTTGCTTGGAAGGTGCTGGGGCAAGAGCAGTCCAGCTGGACAGCAGAGGTCATTTTCACCTGATGGCAAGCTTTGCAAGCCAGTCTGAAATAGCTTGGTTCTTCCACAAGTTGTTTTCTGTAGATTCAGGTTTCTACACTGTGAAATCTACAGTCAGTAATAGCAGTGTTTAGCACAGTCTGGGTTCTGGCTGGGCCTGAAAGCCAAACTTTGCTGCCCTGCCTAAACCAGGGTTGAGCTGAATGTGGAGGCAGTGTCTTTAGGGATGGGGCTTTTTGGATAGGGCTTTGAGCAATCTGGTCTAGTGGAGGGTGTCCTTACCCGTGGCAGGGGAATTGGAAGTGGATAAACTTTAAGCTGCATTCCAACCCAAATCACTCTGTGATTCTGTGATTCTGTGTTCTTTCTGGTGCAGAAGACAGCAGTAGTGCCAGACCAGAATCAGACCATGCACTTGTGTCTGCCACAGTTTGACTCCAGCCTGCTTCGGCAGAGCAGTCCCAAGGGAGTCCTGTGTTCCCTGCTTTAACTTCAGAGGAAAAAAAGGACAGGACTCTCTGTGAGAAGTCTGATGAAGCTGGCTGCTTTAGGACCAGAGAAATGCTGCTCCCCTTGTCCCCTGTTGAGTGTTAGCAGCCGCTGTGGTTAAGGCAGAGATTTCACCCCTAATCTGGAGAGGTGCTGTGTAGGTATGAACACTGGCAGAGACAAAGCGAAGTTGCATCTATTTCACCTTCCTCTGGATGAGGCCCAAGGGAGCAGGTGTGCTGTAAGGATGAAGAGGTCTCTGAGGGGAAAAATCCCCAAACAGTTACAGAGGAAATATACACGGAAAAAATACAAAGAGAGCAAGAGATTAATTAAATTACCAGTAACTTAGAAAAATAGAAAAAAAAAAAAAGAAAACAATTGGAGTATTTTCCCCTCTTTCTTTACAACAGCTGTCAGTATCTCTCCTTTCCTTCCCCACAGTAGTGTGGCCTCCTCCGTGAGAGCTTCAGCATGAGGCATTACACTTGAGGCAAAAAGACAGCCATCAGTGAGAAAGCCTAGAAATAGCCACCGCAGACTATAAGATTTCAAAGAGAACAGGGAAAAGATGGTCCCCAGACAGGGCAATCAGGCATGGCTGGGCCGGGCCACCCAGCGAGGAAGGGAGGACATCCATCCCCCACTGCAGCCGCTCCAAGGCTGCCTCCAGTGGCTGCTTCCAAGGAGATGGATGAAAGAGGTGGAGACCTGATGTACCCATATCACAGAGTGACTGCTTAACCTAACAGGGCTGCTCCTTGTGAGCTTTCCCCAGTAGCGTGGAGAAGCAGCAGCAACTGGGCAAAGGCATTTCTGCCTTTAGTCAGGGTCGGGCAGAAGCTGCCCCTGGAGGACTCATCCTACGAGCTGGTGGTAATGTGGCCTTTATTAGAAATGGGAGGCTTTCAGGAAGGATATGTTAAAAACCCCACAAACATAACCAAAATGGAGAAAACTAAAAATCCTAGTGGGAAAGGTTGCAGGAATAAGCAGGGGCTTGCCTTGGGGAAACTTGTTTTGTTTTTTATAGTTTAAGGCACATGAGCATGTTTCCTCTGCTACAGCCCATTGGCTGACTTCAGAAAATGCCCCTGTCCTGCAGTGCAATGTGTTCATCCTCCTTGTAGCCCTCCTGCAGGCCCCTCACTCATGCAGAGCAAGTCTTTTGCATGGTGTTGGCCACTCTCCTTTCTCCTACTTACACCTGAACCTCTCCTTCTGCTGACTGCTACTCCCATGGCCTCCCATCTTTCTTTGCAGGAGGGGCCTGTAGCAGCAGTCAAGAGCTTCTACAAACCAGTAGTCCTTTCTTCTCCTCCTCTGCCCTGGGATGTGTGGGGTCATAGTGGCATGTTCCTGGCATGTTGCCCATTGGTCTGTGTGCAAGACACAGCCCAGGGTGACCAAGCAAATGAGGGGGCACTGAGCTGGGACATCATCCATCCGGAGGGTTTGCACAGGTCCCCAGCTTTTGCATGATTCCAGCTGCCAAAGCCTTGCCACAATGCTGTCTTCCCATCCTCTTCTGCATCAGCTAATGTCATAGGGCTTAGAAATCTGAGTCCAAATCATTGGTTATTGAGTACTGTTTCTGCTACAGCTGCTACTCCCTCCCCTTCTACAGTCTTTTATTTCTTCTTCCTGGCATGGGCTTAGGTGGGCATGCATGACTTACGAGTTTTAATTTCCTGTGGGAAACATTTCTTGTGGCCTGCAGGTAGGTGCTTTGTTATTTTTCCTTCCCTACCCTGCCTCCCCTGTTTGGTCTTTCCTTAGCTTTAGAGCTTTTCTGTGCTACTGACTGGCCCTTTGAAGATCCTGAGCCCCTTTGAATCTCATTTACTCTGGGATGTAACTTAACTGCTTTCAGTGGTGTTAGTGCTTGTTAACATCTTGGCTAAACGAGAGGAAAATCAAGAGTCCTTTTGCTGTGTTCTCCTTGGTGAATGTAAAACAGGCTGTCCATGTTGGGATTTGCAATTGAGAAACATTCAGAACCACTGCATCGTTGCACATGGTTGTGCGTTTAATGGGAAATTTTGAATGGAGGGAAGGAGGTGAAATAGTCTGGCCAGGGAAAACTTCTAAATTATTATCTCCTGCTGAAGAACGAAGTAGGTTATTGCTCGTGTCCAGTGGTGCCACTGCCAACTGTGAGCAGGGCAAGGTGGACACGATGAACACAGAGAGGGGTGACAGCACTCTGGGACTGCAGTCTCCCAGCTTTGCACCAAGCCTGGAGGCTCGGGGATCAACAGGAGTGGAAGCTAGCTGTAAAAACAACTTTTTGGTGTTTTGCAGTCTCTACTTTCATTTCATCTGCATATTCATAGTCTACTTTTAATTGGCTTGGACACTGATTTTCCCAACAGGCCGAGACTTGACCTTCCAGGGCAGTCAGGGGCAGCAGGCTGCAATGTCACTGGCTGCACTTACCAAAAGGGCAATGGCATGTGTGTGTATGTGTGTGCATTGCATGTTTTTATATCTCTGTGATTAAAAGTGAGGCGTATGTGTACACATACATACATATACATCTATAAATATATAGCTTGGGCTTTGATGTCACGTCCCCACCCAATTTTTTCAATCTGGGATCCCAAATGATACTTTTTTTTTCATTTCACTTCAACCGACAGATTCCCTTGGCCTTTAGCATGTAGGGTAGGACTTCATGAAGTCATCCTTACCCGGGACTCTCATGGTCCACAGGGCCTTTAAACATCACTTGTAAAGTGAATGTGAAATCATGGCCATCTTCAACACGTGTCCTGCTGCACTCAGGGTCCTTTCCAGATATTAGAGATGAGTGTGTGCTATTCACCCTGAAATACCTTGTATTTACCTGGGGATTTTTGAGAACAGTTCAAAAACACTTGACCTAGGTTGAGTAAAAGGCTTAAATGGCTGAAATTTCTAACCACTCACAGAACTCAGTGCATTGCACTGGGGAGAAATTTGGGGGTTTTGCTGAAAACCAAAGCTTTTCCTTTTCCTCACAGTTCTTCCTTGCTCATTTATTAGCTGCCTCTGCTTGGCTACTGCACCGAGCCATGTCCCACTGCACAGATGCTCTCTGCTCAGCAGCCCCATAAAATCCTCATTTTCAAATGAGCTGAGCGTCTGGACAGGTTCCACTGGCTTTCACCTTATTATCACAGGGCTTCCCACTCCAGCTTACCAGCCAGACCCACCAACATCAAAGGCATTGTGTAGATTCACACTAGATAAAAGCCTGGCCCACCCCTCTTGGGATACACCCATTCCCTACCCACATAATGCCGCTTTCCCACCGGGCTGGCTGTGGGGTAGGGGTAGGGTGGGACCATTGCTCAGCATGGCAGCCTCTGCCCACATTCCCTCTGCTGGAGGCACCCAAACGCTGCCTTGGCCCCAGGCCGTGTCTACAGAGAGAACTTCACTTGCTGCCTTCTCCTTTGCAGGCAGCAGCTGCTGATGGTGCCATGGGTGCAGAGGAACAGGCACATTTGGCTGCTGTCACAGGCTCTCTGGGCAATAAATGCCACATGCTGCAGACAAGGCATAATGGGGTCTTTTTCTGCACCCATCAGGGACTTTTTGGACAGTAGCATTTTCCTATGGATTAGCAGGAATCCAGCATGAAGCATCCAAAGTCCTCTTTGGGCCCATTTTTTAACCTGTGGGTAGGAAAATTCCAGCAGCCCCATTCTCTGGCCTGCCTTGCATCACCTTCATCTCCCAGGTTAAGGTGACTCGCTCTGCTGCCAGCTGGGCTACAGTGGTTTTGGGGAAAACTGAGAGCTCTCCTCTCCAGGTCTCTTTTCCCAGGTACAGGGCTTCTCTGGGTACAGCCTCCTGATGTTATTGAACTGGTTTAAAAAGGCTGGACTCCACTGGGTTTCCTGTGAAATGAAATCCTGAAAAAAACAGTGGCTGCGCCTTTTCCAGAAAGGCTCTGCTGTCAGCAAAACGCAGCTTGGAGCAGTGGGGCAGCATCTCTGTGTGGTATAACAGGCTGCCTACATGCTGGAAAGGTATGAGTTTGCACAGCTTAGCTTATATAAATTGAACAGCAAGTGCCAGCACACTGCAGTCATATGAGAGAGCCCAAAAGGTTTGAAGTGTTGCAGAACAAAGCTACTTTTATGATTTATACACTTGCCAGACAACCATCAAATTCTTTGCTGAAACTGGAGCTTCCCTGGTAGCACCACAAGGGCTGGCCAGCCTGCGAGGAATTCTTGGCATCGGAGCAGCTGTCCCAGAGT